AACAAAGAAAATATATATTTGTTGAGGAAAAAAGTGCGCTTAGTTAATTCTTCGATACGATATGTATATATACATATAAAACAACCGGATGACAATTCATACGAACTGCGACACGTGCACATATACATTGTCGCGCAAAAAGCTTACGCTGACAGCACGCGCGAATACCGTGCGTATATATACATATACATATGCAACAATGCATGCCATCGCGCGTTAGCCAAGTGCTGCGCGCAGTCAAGCACGTTTCACTTCAAACAGAGAGGGAGAGGGGAAGGAAAAGAGAGAAGAGAGGGAGAGAGAGAAAGAGAGAGCAAATTTTGCATGAGAAAACTAGTCTCACTCTTTCAAGGGCTCCGATTTTCGTCTTTACTGGTCCTACACGATCACGGACGACACATCCAGGGCTGCGTTCGGAAATGTCCCCCGAGTACATTCTCTCTCTTTCTATATCACTTCTATCGTCAGTGATATAGACAGAGAGAGAATGCACTCGGGGAACGTTTCCGAACGCAGCCGAGAGAGAGAGAGAGAGAAGGGGGGAGGAAAAAGAAAAAACTAAAACATCAGGACTCCTCCGCTCGCGCACAAGACCAAAAAGACCTCACGAAGCGGAAATACGAAAGAAAAAGACGGATAGATAGCGAGAGCAACAAACATCTACATTACAAGTCATGCATGAAAGCGTGAAGGAATATAAGGAACGTGCGTAAAGAAGAAAGGAAAGGTCTGCCGTTTGCTTATTAGTATAGCTATACAATAAACGAAGAAGTCAAAAGAGAAAGAGAGAAAAAAATAGTCACAACTATAAATATATAAAATGTGAATTGTGTATTTTGTATCAATAGATGGTTCATTCTCTTCATTTTCCAAAATCGAAATAAAAATTTATCATCGACTTCACTGTTTATTTAACTTGTCAGTGTCTACAATCAATGGGTGCGTTTTGGTAAGATACCGCTACTGTAGCGCTACAGTAACGCTACAAAAAACTACAATATATACAATACAATACATGCGATACATGCTACTACATCGCTACAATTGTAGCGAAAAAACTGTAGCACTACGGTAGCGGTATCACCAAAAAAAAAAACATCCAATGATACCAGGCTCCCGAAACATTGGACCGCTGGTATCTCTTTTCTATTTTGTCCGCCTATTTTGTGCGCAGATACACGTTCTCTCGTTGAACAAAGTATAAAGAAATAAATATGCGTGTTTCTGCAAAGATTAAATTGCCTCACTGGAGCAACAACGAACAACTTGTTGTTGATGTTCCATGTTTCTTAAAAAAGTTGCTAATTGTTGTCGAAAGTTTCTTACTGTTTTTGTTGTCAGCAACAAAATTTGCTGCTTGTATGTTTTTATTCGAAGTAGTATGGACAAAATGTTGTCGCAAATTGACATAAAAGTATATCGAATTCTTTTATAACATTTAGTAACAATAAGCAACAAAAAGTTGCTCGTTATTGTTCCAGTGAAGATACATAGCTTTAAAGTTCCTTACTGTTTCTGTTGCTAGCAACAAAAGTTGCTGCTTGTTGCATTTTTTATTCGAAGCAGTAAAGATAAAAGAAAAATAAACAACAAACGACAAGTCGCAAAGGAACAAATGTTCCTTCAGTGTGAATCTTCAATTTTTAGTGACACAATCGCAGTTAAAACGGGAATAGGAATAAAACTCAAATGTTCAAATAATTATATATGTTGCTTCAGTATGGACAAAATATTGTCGCAGTTGACATATATAACTTCTAATTATTTTTATATAAAAATATTTTTCACACTATAACTGTGCAAATTTTTATTATTGATATTTTACCTATACAGTATGGTACAGTGCCACTTTGCAGCAATATTATTGCAAGATTACCAACATATTGTATTGCAATATTGTTGCAATATATTAAAAATATTACATACGCAATATTCCAATATGTCAGCAATATTGTACTACAAATGCAATATATGACAAATTGCTGCAATGTTGCTACAAGCTATCGTGTTGTTAGGGTATGTCCATTGATTTCTATATACAGGGTGTCCGGTAACTAACGGGCCAATGATTAAGGGCGGATTCTCTGGCCAATTTGGAGACGATTTTTCCTTAACAAAAATGTTGAGAAGTCAATAATTTTCGAATTATAAGCGATTGAAAAAAAATGGGTTTTTTGAAAACTAAACGTTTTGGAGTTAAAAGTTTAACATAATTACATTTTTCAGTTAATTTCAGGTAGAGTTTACTATAATAAAATTTTAATTTGAGGCTTAGTTATAAAGATACATAATGACAAATATTGGAAAGTTGTAAAAAATGATGACTTTTTTCGACATTTTCGCTGAGAAAAAATCGTTCCCAAATTGACCGAAGAATCCATTTGTAATCGTTGGTCCCTTATAGTTACCGGACACCCTGTATAACTAGATATGGCATACCCCAATAACATAGCTGTAAAAAGTGTGCCCAATAGAAGCGATAAAAATTGTGGGCTGTATCTACATTTCTATAGCAACAATAAACATTATTGTATATACTATATACATATATGTGAAATATATATATATATACATATATAATATATATATATATATATATATATATATATATATATATATATATTGCCATTAAAATATCAAAATAAGTGCTATATTTATATTATGTAGACAGAGCCCACAATTTAAGTTTCAATTGGTCACACGTTTTTTGTTCTATACCATATCCAGTTATATGTATATAGAGATCAGTGAGTATGTCGAATTGTTTTGAAATATTTAGCAACAAAATAGTTGCTCCAGTGAGAACATAACTTAAGCTATCCGTTCGTGCTTCTCGCTCGGTACGTCTTCTGTTACTGTCGCCGCCGCTGTCTCCACCGCCGTCGCGATCGATACGCCATTGCACCGTGACGTGCCGACGGGTAAATTACTCGTTTTGACGATAGTAGTCGCACTAGCAGTCGCGCTCCAGTGACGCGATAATATTCGCCAGCCGTCGGATGTACCATCTTCGTCAGTATCTCCGTTATTAGACCGCGCGGAGCGCGTGTTGCGGCGGCGCAGCGTCCCGATAGCGATCGTCGGCAAGTAAAGCCAGTAGCGACGACGACGACGACGTTGACGTTCCGGAGGTGCCTCCGCGCGCGATAGCCTATATATATACGACGACAGGACGTCGTTGACGGGATCGTGGATGTACGATAATAATAATAAGACGTACCACCATCCGCGGTGCAATGGTAATGCGCTGCGAAGCAGAGTGTGATGGAGAGGGATAAATAAAAGAAAAATGTGATGTGATAAATAGAATCATATATATGTGTGTGTGCATGTGTGCGTGCGTGATGTGCAATTAAGTGCGAAAAAATAAATAGATATATCGTGCATAAGGCCTTTCCCGGGAGCGGAGAAAAAAGGGAACCCCACCGGGATTCGATCCTGGGACTTCTTTTTCGATAAGCAGATCCACTCTATCACTGAACCTGGACCACTCGTCGCTCCATACCACCATATTCTCTCTCCGCTCACATTATTACAATATACACACACACACACATATATATATATATATATATATATATATATATATATATATATATAGAGAGAGAGAGAGAGAGAGAGAGAGAGAGAGAGAGAGAGAGAGAAGAGAGACATGTTATTTCGTTGACCGTGGATTGCGTTCGATAAGACTATAAGAGTCTCGGCCCATTATGGGTCGTCGGTGACTGTACGACTCGTATCTCTGCCGTCTTCGGATTTGCGGCTACGAAAGCATCGTATTGAAAACATTGCTGTCACTAGGCATAGGTGGCGGCGTGGCGAAGGAAGAGGAAAAGGAAAAAAGAGAAGGAAGAGAAAGAGGATAGAGAAGGGGAGAAAGAAAGAGGAGGAGGAGCACAGAGCGGTTCAGCAAGGAACAAGGAGGGAGTCTGGCGACGGAATTGGAGGGAAGGTCTCGCCAGGAGACGCACGCTGCGTGCGATATTCGCATAACGCGCTCTTCTACCTGCTAAAGCGCGCGCGCGCTCTAGAGAGAGACAGATAGAAAGGGGAGAGAGAGAGAGAGATATCACAAACAAAGGGAAAGAGAGAAACGGATAACGAGCGACTTTACGATGTACGTGGAAGTGGTGGCGTTGCGGCGGACTCGCGGCAGCAGCAGTAGTCGCATCGTTGTCTTCTTCGTCGTCGGCGGCGCGTAACACAACGTTGGAAGGGAAGGCGAACATAGGAAAAAAGAAGGAACGGGTTTACATATACGTGTGTGTCTACCAAGTGTGTGCTAGAGAGAGAGAGAGAGAGAAAGAGGGAGAGAGAGAGAGAAAGAAAGAGAAAGACAGACAGACAGACAGCAAGCAGACAGAGAGAAGGATCTCGCAATGCGCGCGGGTTAGAAACCTCATTCGGGGAAGGGAGAAAAAGATGGACCCAGTCCTCCTGCCTCGCGACCCAGCGGCGCGTCATCGTACCGGAGCGAAGGACGTCGTGTTCGGGAAACGATGTGCGCCGACGATGACGACGTCGACGTCGTCGAGGTGGATGATCGTCGACGGCGACGAGGGTCTTCTTCCTAACCGTGCTCTCACTCATTATCACCGGGCATGAGCGGACATGGAAAGCGAGGAAGGAATCGTGAGAGAGAGAGAGAGACGAGTCGTGCCAATTATTATTATTGCTCCACCTAGAGTTCTTGCCCGCTTCCGGAGTATTATTACTACCTTTTGTGTTGTTCTCGAGACGTAAAACAAAAATTTCTAGAACAAAAGTGCATTGAAAGTGTATTGCAAAAAAATAATTGTGTACGCGCGTGTGTGCGTATATATATATATATATATATATATATATATATATATATACATATACATATACACGAAATACGAATGTGAAGAGACTCGCCGCGAACGACGAGAGAAGAGCGTACGTTAGAGAGCGGCGGGCGATACGTTCCTCGGTCGTCACCCTCTTCCCCGGAGGGGGAGTGGGGAGGGGGGAGGAGGAGGAGGAGGTGGGGCGGCGGCGGGGCGAGAGGAGGGAGATACATTTCCCGGGATACCGATGACGGCGACTCGCGCGCAGTAATAATGGAGACATTACTGCCCGGCAACACCGGTCAATCGTACAGTCCCCAGTTGAAAAACGTCCTGAAGACTTATCAGCTGTCAGCTGTTAAGAGTCTTCAGGGTCCGAGTTCGGCCCTGTTGGGCATGGACTGTAAAGTCCTGCTGCAACACAGCAATAACGAGCAGCAGCAACATTCGACGACCTCGTGCTATGGCTCGTGTGTCGCGTCTGGTCGTTCAGCAACGACCAATTGCGGCCTGGACTCGCCCGGAGAGTCCGAGAAGAAAGATGTCGTCGAGAAAGAGGCTCGTGAAACGTCAGCAACAGGTCAGCAACAGCAACGTCCAACGACACCCGTTCCTCCTCCCGTCTCCAGCAACAAGATCTCACCGAGATCGCTGGAGGACTCGGATGAGGATCGTCCAGCGGTGATGGAAGGGCGTCTGAAGGGCATCGAGAAGCGAGAGTTGGAATTTCAGATACCGATACTGACAGCTCCCGATCAGAGCTGTTCCGAGAGATGCGAGACAAATCTCGAGGGCGAGAGGATCTCCTGTTTCGTGGTGGGCGGCGAAAGGAGGGTATGTTTACCCCAGATCCTGAACACGGTGCTGCAAGACTTCTCCCTGCCCCAGATTAATCAAGTGTGTGACGAGTTGCAGATCTATTGCTCTCGTTGCACTCGCGATCAGCTGGAGGAACTCAAGCAATCCACGATTCTGCCTAATAACGCCCCCTCTTGCGGTCTGATTACCCAAACCGACGCCGAGAGGCTGGTCAGCGCTCTGCTGTTGCGTACGGATTCCTGCGATCCCGCCCAAATCAGTCAGACCCAGGATTGTTTCGATAAGAAGACTTGTGGCAAGAACGAGGACGAGGAAACCATCGTCAAGTTCAAAGTGTATCATGAATGCTTCGGCAAGTCCAAGGGTATCTTTAATGCCGACCTGTTCGAAACGGACGATTCCGTCTGCATCCAGTGTGAGGACTGTCCCTATCAGTTCTCACCCCAACGCTTCGTCCGACACGCTCACAAATTTCTGGAGAATCGTACCTGCCACTGGGGTTTCAATTCTGCCAATTGGCGATCGTATCTCTTGCTCTCTCGCACACAACCGGATTACAGCAAGTCGCTCATTCTATTTGCGAACTGAAGAAGAGGCACCTCGTGCTAAGTTCCAAGCGAAAGCTAGAGGTATTCTTACTTGATGATGCCATTCTTTTAGAAGGTAGATTGAGATATCAATAATGTATTATATATAAAGCTGAGGTGCAAATATCTGTTTTAGCTGCGACCTGAACACGAGAGATTAGCCAAACGCACAAAAAAAAGACATCGGGAAGGATGATTGCGCTGGAATTTACAATGGTAATGGACTAGGGATGTATCATCCTATGTCTCAGATAGCCACCGCAGCTGATCCGTATCTGCAGATGCAGTGGGCTGCAGTTTGCGCAGAGTACAACAGAGGCGCGTCAGCTTTTCGGCCTTGGAATGCCACACTCAACTGCAAACATAGGGACAAGTGAGTATATTATACGTGTTGTACATAGGCATTAAGAAATCACAATTTCAAGTATGATAAGATCTAATGAGAAAACCAGATGCAACAAAATTGTCTAAATATCAGACTTCACAGTCTTCCTTTATTCCTCTATTTTCCTCTATTTGAAAAAATCTCTTTTCCTCTTTTTTCAATATTTTTCCCCTTTTTCTGTTTTTTCTCACTTTATTTTGATGTTTATTTTTCCAATTTTGAATTACGCGGAAAACTATTTCATATGTGTGGCATTAGTATAGAAAAAGAAACAAAAAACCTAAGAGTTTGTCTTTTTTCCTGTTGGTACTTGATAGCATTTATCTAAATATCCACTATGACTGAGTATTACTAACAAGTTTTTATATGGTTGTGTTCTAAACAAAAAAATTTTAGCCTATTATTTATAAATTTGAATTTTTATCCATGTTGTAAATCAAAAGATATTAATATATATTATGTATAAATTAGTATTTGTACGTTCACATTGTAAAATAAAAAATGTTTAATACATTATAAAACAACAAATGTGTATTCAAAAGAGGGCAACTTATCGAGCAATATTTAAGATGTATCTAATTAAATTTATTTCATACACAATATATTAAAATTACAAAAACCTTCCATATAAACGTTTCAACCGCACGCGGTCTTCTTCTGTATAACAGTGTTACGTAATTTATAATTCTTACAAAAAACATCATATTCTTAAAATTTACTAATAGTCCGTTAATACGACTCGAGAATTTGTTAGAAATGTATGCGTGTTACAAATTGTCATATTTATAAAAGTATTCGCCATAATGTGATCTTATGATGTTGGATCCCGTAAATTATTTCTTCGTTATTAAGCGAGAAATTCTTAATGTCTATAGGCGTTTGTGTCGCCTCTTCTCACAGTTTAACACAATTTTTTGAGTTCAAAATGAGGTGTCTTGTTAGACGGTTGTTTTATATATTTATAATAATTTCAATTTAAAAAAAAAAATCTGTTAAACTGTGAGAAGAGGCGACACAAACGCCTATGGAGATTAAGAATTTCTCGCTTAATAACGAAGAAATAATTTACGGGATCCAACATCATAAGATCACATTATGGCGAATACTTTTACAATATAAATATGACAATTTGTAACACGCATAAATTTCTAACAAATTCTCGACTCGTATTAACGGACTATTAGTAAATTTTAAGAATATGTTTTTTGTAAGAATTATAAATTACGTAACACTTATACTAAAGAAGACCGCGTGCGGTTGAAACGTTTATATGGAAGGTTTTTGTAATTTTAATATATTGTGTATAAAATAAAATTTAATTAGATACATCTTAAATATTGCTCGATAAGTTGGCCTCTTTTGAATACATTTGTTGTTTTATACAATACACGAGCGAATAGAAAATTTTAATTGATCTTTTAATACATTATGTTATTGTTGAGTAGAATAAACTTTTTGCATGTCACATAAATGTAGACTTAATTTAACGTTAATTAATTTAATATAATTTTGAAAAATAATAACTTTTGCAATTGAGAAAATATAATATTTGTTAAGAGATTATATCCAGTCAAAAAATTAAACAAAATTTATTTTTTTTTAAGTGTTTTTATAGATTAACATTTCAAAAACAATATAGTCTGATATAGAAATATGCAAAACTAAAGAAGTTATAATGCTTAGTGAAATAATCGAAGTCATTTAGTTAGGGAAGTAAAAATTTTGAACATATTTTGCTCTACATTAAGTCTCTCGCAGTGGCTTTGAAACTCTTGTACCGTTTAATCAATTGTCTTGAAATTGTGCGTACTAGTTTTTTATAAGATTCGACAACGTAGACTTTCGACTTTCTGTATTTTATTTATTAGCAAAAAATATTTTTCGTTAAAAATTGTATTTTTGCTTTATGTTCGAAAATCGAACGTTTAAAAACCTGCAAGATAAAAAGCATAAGACCACACTCATGCAAAATATATAATATTCATGCTTCGTTATTATGCCGCATGCATCATGCTATATATATATTAATAAAAATACATTATAAAGGCGCATATTATATACAAATAGCGCTCGGCCGCGAGGGTATACGGATACCCCGCGCCTTCGAGAAAGAAGCGCTTACGTTAAACCATAATAAACAGTAAGGATCGCGGCCGCGCGATAGGTGATACACAATAGTTCCGTTAATAACAAAATGCGATGTCAATCTCACAATAAACAACAACTCTATATGTTCTTTCGCCCTCAACCTACCGATGGAATAATAAAAATGTTCGCGAATCTTCTAGAAAATAGGGACTATATAAGCACCCTCTCAAGAGGCCGCGGCGCTCTTTCCGATAGCTTGTCGTTGCGAATAGAGTGCGCTTCTCCTTTCCAAAAAAGATCGCTTGTCTTTTTTGCGTTTAATTACCGTTGCTTGCGGAACACTCAGTACTTTATTTTTGACACGGCTTTTCTCTCGGTTATTGTACTTTCTGATACGTTCGACTCGGCGATTTCTTGGTAAATTCTGTGTGGTTTAAATAATTGTAATTTTTTTGTATTAGTAGTGTAAATATATTTAGTCTTAATGATACGTGTGCTGTGAGTGCAGTGCCTTTCTGTCGTCTCGCTTCCGACCTTCCTTTCCTGCTTTCCGTCGCGCACACTTTAAAAATACGTTTTTTATTAAATTTTTTATTAAAATTTTTTAATTAGTGTATTGCATGATAATTATTTTGAACTTTTACTATTAGAATTTATCTGCGGCCATAATCAGAGCTATAGTTACCTATTAAATAGGAGAGTGCCTTACAGAAATTCTCTTATACCTTTAAATAAAAGATATGTTCATGCTTTAATTCTTTTTAGTTCTCTATAACATTGTTATAATATAGTAAATGCTATTAAAATCTTTAGATAAAAATTCGAAAAAATTCCTATAATACGTTTTTTTTTTTGAACATTTGATGGAGGGTACACTCCTTTAAGACTACTTAAAACACATATGAAGAATATTAATAATTTATTTTAAGTGAGAAGCATCTTGTCTTGGGATTTCCTCTTTTTTACCCTTTTTTGTAAAAAAAATTCTCCTATTTCCCTTTTTTTTGCGCTGTGAAGCCTGAAATATTTTATTTGGTGGAACTTATTAGAAAAAAGAAGGTTTAAATAGCAGATTAAACTTTATTTAAGTAAAACACATACAAGAGACAAAACGCGTGCGTGCAATACGACGGTTTAGGCACGAGTGAGGCGAGTGAGCTCGCTTTTGGACGGAAGAATATCGGGGTACGTGTTCTGAATTATATGGGAATAATCGATTATTTTTGTCGTTTTCGTCAAGCAAAGTCGTAAGACATACACAAAAATATATAGAAACTATATAACGAGCTTTTATTTCTCTCACTCATGCTCTTAATTATCTTCAGCATATTATAGTAACAGTTATTGTCTTTGCAGTTCGTCGTTGCTACCTGCGTACCTCAGTCGAGGTCCACCTGTACTGCAACATCCTGAACGAGTTATCCCGCTTTCGGAGTGCGAGCGTTTCGAGCCGCACTTTCAGCCTAACGTGGCGTTAGCGCCTATTACGACGACACCTCCTCAGATAGGTCGGATATCGCCTCTCTCGTCCGTTCACCAACGACGGCATCATCATCATCACGAGCATCATCATCGCCACCGTCACAGTTTACGTTCGACGAGTCCCATGAGCGAGAAACAAGAACTGCTGTCGGCGGCCGATGTCAAGCTGGAGAAAACATCGTTGAGCCAAGACGCTGAACCTGTCGATTCTTATCCCGTGTACTACGTGCCCGATGAAATGAGTCGAAAGGAACCGGCGCTACCTGGAAAAAAAGAAAGGAGGGAAAAGGAAGGTGTAGAAGAGGAAGAGAGTAGCGCGGCAGTGACGTCGTCCACGGTGACAGTGGAGCCTCTTCCCCTGGCGACCTCCTCCGAGGTCGGTACCACCTCCTCGCCGTCCGAGAGCGACTCCGACTCGGACGGCACCGCGGCAGCCGATCTTGAGGAGCAACTGAGAGCGCTCAACGTGCCGCAGGATGTGATAGAGCTGGCGCGTCGCGTGGCCTCGGAGAACGCTCAGCTGCGACGTCTTCGGCAATTGGACGCGCATGAGATTTCAAAGCTACGCAGTCACATGCACAAACTACAGCAGCAGCAACAGCAATCCACCATTGTCATGGGAGTCAGTAATGGCGAGTCGAGGGACAAGAAGGAGGACTCTTCGGCGATGGTGCCGCGCGCCAGCGCGGCTGACAGCACCGAAGGTTGCAGCGAAGAGACCGATCCCATGGAGAATTTGCCATCGAATCACGAAGAGTCCGAGTCTGCCAATGTGCTAGTGACTAAAAACGAATCGGATCAGTGATTAGGATAACGCGTGCGAAAATTATTCGTTACGACATACAACTGCTCAGCAATCATCACCGCCGCGATTACGACGCTTATCTCAAATAAGCATGCACTGAATTTAGAGTTTACATTAGAGTATGTGTAAGTTTTTTGCGTAAGTATAGAGCGTGTTTTCCAAGTAATTTTTATTTACCAATTAGTGTGTTTTCTCAATGAAAAATGAATTGAAAAAAGTCCTAAGTCCTCATTTTCTTCTCCGCGACGCTCTTGATGAAAAAAAGGAATTTTTAAATAAGATCATGTAGAATGCATCAAGGGAATTTTAGTTGATAATTCTTCTTTTGTCTCGCGAAGGAAAAAAGACGAAAAAAATAATTCAGAACTTTTTAATTCATTTTTACGAGGAAATAACGCCATATAACACTGGTAAGACGTGAATTACGGAAGACTATGTGTGTGTGGATGTGTGTGTGTGTATATATATGTAGGTATATATGTGTATAATAGTTCTAAACGAAACGAAAAATTGTCTAGGTTATGTGATATGCGACGAGCCTTTGAATGTTATCGCAGTTAATTCGGACTTTTCATTAGATAAAAAACCTAATATAGACACACACATACAACACACATGCTATCCAACTCAAACATCAGCTTATTGTTAGGTAGAGTCCCATTTGTTGGCAAAATTTAAACCAATCGATTACTATCTAGGAAAATGATTTAACCTTCATGTTTGTCAATAATTATGCCTATAGGTTCACTTTCTATTTGTATTATAATGACAGACATGTTTTATTTTCCTCTTTTATTTTACAGAAATAAGAGAGTTAGTGGTTTAAAATGAATGATTTCTCCGATGGAAGATGTAGTAAAACGAGTTGGATGGCCATGTTAAATATATACTTTCTATCGATCGATTTTTTAATTAAAGTCGAATGTAAATATTGTATTATAACAAAACCTAGAGGAGAGTAGGGACATTTAAGGGATTATACCGCGCCAATTAAACTATTACATTTAATAGATATTATGACAAGATATTTCGTATATATTAATTATATATAAAGTGTAAAGAGATTTTTACGAGATAATAATTTTGATCCCTGAATATATGGCAAGTAGAGAGGGGGGGGAGAGGAGAGAGAGAGAGAGAGAGAGAGAGAGAGAGAGAGAGTGTGAATTTAGATTGCTTTCCATTTTCACATCTTGGTAGTCATTTAAATTGCATAATGTAAATACATTGTGGCATCATATATACATATATATATATATATATATATATATATATGTTTATAATATAATTAATTACACTATCATGACGAAATAATGCTAAAGTACAAAAAACCTAGGTGCTATATTATTATTCTAGGCAGTACGCTGTAAGCAGAAACCTAGGTGTGTTCCAGCAGCTCGTACTACATTGTAATTTATCCAGAACATTATATACGTGTTACGATGAATCGAATCGCTACGATTACAATCTTGTGATTTGACGGTTTTTATATATAAGAGAGAGTAGGATCTGCTTTTTAATTCGACGAAAAAAAGCTCGGTCCAAGCCTAATAATAATGTCAATAAAGGAAAAAAAGAAATTGGATATTTAAAAATTATTTATTTGGTACATACAGTAGGACCATAATTGCAATTATTGTTGATTAAATTGTTCTCGTACTTCCAATCATTTGAGTAGTTATTGAATTGTTTAATTTATTGATGAGACGTGAGGAATAATTTTTAAGAGTGCTTGTGTAATGGGTCATCGTAATTTTTTATATTCTTTTTTTCACAAAAGTATTCTAAATTTTTTTCAAAAATCTATATTTGCTTTTTCTTCAAAAAAAAAAATATATATATATATGTGTGTGTATATATATATATATATATATATATATATATATATATATATATGTATGTATGTATATATAGGGTGAACATTAGAATTTGAAAAACTCTTTGTTTTTTTAAAAACAAAAAATGTCTAAAGAAAAAAATGTTTTTGCTACGAATAAATAATCCAATACAACAATAAACATTTTTTTCTCAAAACCTTATGTTCTAAGATATTACTATTTTTTTTTAATTTAATTCTACATTTTTATTACTAGTAATATTTATTACTGGTTTTTATTACTAGTAATATTATAGCTAGAAAAAATTTTAGATATTAATTTGAAAAAAGTTAATTTATTTAATTTATTTTGTAGGTGCAATAATGTTTATTTGTATTATTTATTTTTCTCAAAATTTTACTTGTTATATTTTTTTGTATTTTTAAGAAAACGGGGTACTTCAGGTTTTACCATAACATTAGATGCTTTCGCCCTATATGTATACTACGGAGAAAAGCATAATTAATTAAATCATACATAGACACACGTATTGTATATAAAATTCTGTTGACTACAATGGTGTTTTGTTATTAATATTTAATATTTTTACTAATTGTAAGACTCGCAGCTGGGAAATCCACATCCTTTATATGTATATGTATATAAACATACATATTTATATTTATTTTGTATATTATTGTTGGTACATATCAGTTTAGTTGTATTTATAATATATGAATGGTCCTACTGTGAGAAAGCAACAGAGAGATATACAGAAAATACTGGCTGTATACTGAGATAGCGTTTCTACATTTATTTAACACATTGACAAAATTAAATAACGACAGGATTATCTAGAAAGACACTATATCAGCTGATTACAATTCCTGAGTATCTCTCAAGTTTTTAGCAGAGACCGAATGTTAAATAATGTTGGACGTAATTACTTTTTTTATTACGGATTTTTATTTTTATTATACGAATTCGAATTGATTGTCGAGTCAATTACGATAAGAAAAAAAAATAATATAAAGATTATTTTTCCTGCATGAGAAAATACTCCATATATACATACACACGCGCGAATATTTGTGTATCAAATTATATTAAACACGCCACAATATGAAGAAGAGAAATAGATTTTTTTAATATATTCATATAAAGTATATATATCGATGCATGAACAAACAAGCAAGATATGTATATGCACATGTAAAAGATGTAGATATAGAAATATATAGACATATTTCTGACATATATATATATATATATATATATATATATATATATATATATATATATACATATGTATAAGAGGGTGACTTTTATATATATTAGGGACTCTGTTTTCATTTATTACACGTACAATCGATAATATGTGATAGGAACGATTGCCTCTTTTTTCTTTTTTTTTCTTTTTTATTATTCTATACTCTTATTTCGCCGCTTAGATATTTTTTATATCAAGAAATGTGACGGAGTTCCCAGTGATATGTGTGATATACAATCTCCGATTTAAATTTATTATTACGTGAATGTATTTGTACAAAAAATGTAATATATGTACATGAGCGAATGAGACGAATGTAAATTTTCGCTATTACAATTTCAAAATGTCTGTCTGTTTTTTAGCAAATGCAAATAGTTTGTTAACATTCAATTCTCGCTTACATAAGGCGAAATAAAATAAAGATACTTATTATAATAAGACTCCTGAATCCTCGCCGGGGGCCATATTAGATTATGACGTCAGAGGCGAAAGCGCACGCCGAAAATTTTTAGATATCATTCTTCAATGAAAAGATATATTTTGATGAAACACTATTTCAGATGGCTTTAGCACACTTTTAAAATACCTCGAAAACTATTACTCTCAACAGTCGATCAACAACCATAAAATGATCGTAAATGACTGCGCATGTGCAAAGATCAGTCATTTTACAGCTGTTGATTAATTATATAAAGAGAAAAGGATAGTTCTCGAGATATTTTAAGATGAGTGTTCTAAAACCATCTAAAGTATTGTTTCATCGAAATGGCATCTAAGAATTTTTAGTGTATGTTTTCTCACCTCTGACGTCACAATTCCAACATGGTTGACAAGAAGCCAGGAGCAGGAGCCTTGATCGAATTTATTTCACATTTTTTTACTACTTTTGTTCGCTCAATATGTACATATATATACATACTTTAAGAATGTAATCTTCATTTTATATACCGACTGAAATTTTGCGAGATGATAACCCAAGTAAGCAGGATATGTGAAAAAAACTGGAAGCTAGGATTGTATAACAGATAATGCATACATATCCTCGCAGTCAGCGATAGTTTATATAATAATGTAAAATCATACATAGTTGCGTTATATATTTCCATTGTGTAGCAGAACCATGCTGATTATGAAATTATTATTGTATTGAAAATATACGCGTATAATATATATCGAGACTGCTTCGAGGATCTCTTATCATACATAAACGTTTGTTTTTTTGCCTTATAATTTTTTGCTTTAATAATATAGCAACAGTGCCAGTAACTCTTATATCAAATCGCGGACAAAGAGAAAAACTTCTCATTTTCATGCTCATAGGAAAAAAAAATAAAATTCACTCTCTGCGGCTACTCAATTTTTTCTGGTGTATTTAGATAGAGCGAATGTTAGATTTTCAAAGCAATTTGTTAATATAAAACTGATGATGTATGAAGTAATCAATGATGTAGAATATATAGAATACATTATATATAAAATACATTATATATTATATGGAGCATTTCATGTCAAGTGGGCTACTTTTATTTTATTATTGCAGAAAAACGACCTTTTTCAGCTTTCTTTTTAACAGTTAAATTTTATCCTTATTATATTTTATGTTTTAAAAATATTATCTCATTCTATCTCAATATCAGATGTATATGTGTTTAACAAAATATGGCGGAACTAAAATCATACAAAATGGATTTTGAAAATCAGAACTTGGATTTGATCGAAAATTCATTGTCAGTTATATGCAGTCTATACGTGCAAAATCTCAAAACCTTCATTCTTCCTATTATAAAGGGAACAAAAAACTTAAAAACACATCTGATATATCGAGATAAAATAAGGTGTCATTTTTAATCCGATCTACTACAGATAACATTGTGTAATTTCTGGATTTTAATGTACAGAAATTTTAAGGATAAAATTTACCTTAAAAATGAAAAAAGTTGCCTTTTGCAATAAAGATCTCAAGTAACAAACCGACCTCATTAAATGTCAAAATGACGTCATTTTGATGTTTAATGATGAATAATCAGTTTACTACTTTAGGTCACGTGACATGGAATGCTCTATATATATACAGATATATATATATATATATATATATATATATATATATATATATATAATGTATTCGCCGTATGTAACATTCGGTCAATATACATAAGACACATTACATTGTAATGTTAAACAGTAATGTAAGCATCCCACCTAAGGTAAAAGATGTAATAGTCTATGTTTTTCATACACACATATATACATTATATAAATACATTCAAGTTTATTATATATATAGTTACTTAGGACGTAACGCGCATAAAAGGAGTAATTCATAATATCTAATAACTATATATATATATATATATATATATATATATATATATATATATATATACAGCTCGGTTTCGAATACATTTGAAGTCTATGTATAAAAAAAGTAATAAGAATAATAATAATAAAATAGTTTCGACAAATCATGTAACTGCCATGACTTTAAATGTATTTCAATTTCGCAGACACGAGAGAGATATGTATTTTAATTTCAAAATGAAAATATATATATTGTGAGAGACAAAAATAAACAAAAAAATGGAATACATATACGATGCCTTTTCACTCTATATAAAGAAGAGGGGGGAAAAAGAAAGGCAAAAGAAAAGGAATATTAAACTTAAAATCGCGCGATATCCAAGCAAAATGTGTGATGTGTCGTGCTTATAATAATTATTATTATGGCATACGTAAACACTATGTTGAAATAAAATATACTGCTGATGCTCTCGCTTTATTAGGAGCAAGCTTTCGAGATCAGACGTCGGAAGTGATTTTTATCTCGTGCGCTTCGCTAATATTATCTCTGTTATTTATATGTTTAGTCTGACCTTTTCGAAACACGAATTGTAAATTACTAACTGATACGACCTATTAATATGTGTGCATGCATATGCGTGTACTCGTTTCTCATATCTCTCTTTCCTCTCTCTCTCTCTCTCTCTCTCTCTCTCTCTCTCTCTCTTTTTTTTCTGCTGATTTTTCTGTTTAAAATTTATCTGTCCCGATAGGAAAACGTCTCAAATATTGTACAATAATTGCATCACGGAAAGGAAGGAATTTCACAATAATTGACATTAAATAAGATAACGCAGCAGTTTTGTTAGAATTAAATTTTTTAATGAAATTGCTCAAAATTGATATATTCAATTTAGAATATAAATTATGTACAATTATTTTGTGTTATATTTATTATAATTTCAAAATTATAATTAAAATAATTATGCATTTTTAAGCATACATTTTTATTAACTTTTTTTTATTTCGTAAAATATTTAAAAAATAATAAAACTCAATGTATTTGTATTAATTATTATAGGTAATTTCTTTCCAAATTTAATTTTGCAAATATTTCACTGTTTTGCTGTAATAATATTTAGAAATAAATATTGTGCAAATATTTATATATATTATTTAAATTTCTACATGTAAATTGTTTCAAATAAAGATACATGATTGTATAGCATTTCAAAATTTCACTCAGATTTCGTCATGTAATTTTATAAATATTTTTCTATCGGGGGGGACACGAATCAGAAATGATTTCCCAAGCTTTAATGTACAATGATGCATGTGTGTTATCGGCGATATCATTATCATTAAAGTACTCGCGTGATATACATATGTACTGTGCCATTTTATTTTTCGAAGTATTACGGAAACAAAAGAAAGTCTAGACAGCGAGAGCGCGCCATATTCAAATTTTGATACACGTGTACACGCACATGCCGAAAAAGAGAGAAAAATAAGCTATTTGAATAGACGATAAGACATATTATATATAGATATATACATATATATATATATACACACACACACACACACACACATATATATATATATATGTGTGTGTGTGTATATATATATAGATATTAGAGAATAATCTCATAAACGTTTGTGCGATAACAAAGTAAATAAATAGACGATGTGCGGATATTATTACAAATAATAGTATCGCAACTGCAATTTGGCGGAAATTCTATTAGCGACAACAAATATAGTAATCTATAATCAGCGATAATCGGTAAAATGTGTAATGAAAGATTCGAAATCCAATTTTTTCCCCAAAAAAGTCCTATATATTCTACTCGAACGCTCGCTAGAAAAAGCAATTCCCCATATGCCCTTATTCTCTCTTTAATTCTATATAAAATTTACGTAAAATCTAGTTTTTATAATTATCTAAAAAATGAACACCTTTATGAGCATCCGAGATTTTTTTGATGTTTTTTAAACAAACGTCCTCTGAATCTTTGACATATTTTTAAGGTGGACGCTGGGTCACACGCATACGCACAATTTTAACCCGTAATAAAATTTTTTTTATATATGTATAATAGATTTTAATTAATTACACTAGTTTACAACCAAAAATTATTTTAAACCAAAGTTTTTCTTATAGATTTTTAGATGCTAAAAATGATGTCGTAAACCAAATTTCTAAAATAATTGAGATTTTGTAAAAACTGACCTTTTTGCAGTATTTGAGTTTTTTGTAAAAAAGAAAAAGAAATATTTTTTCCAAATTTGATTTTACCGTTATTTGTCCTTCTTAAATCTTAGATTATACAATACTTTTATCTGGAATATTTTTTCGGAAATTTGTTCCGTTATATTCAATTAAAATGAGACATCCTATATATAAATATACATTCAGCGGAATCTACACGATAAAAATCATAAAAATCTTAAATATCACAAAAAATCATTTTTTACATATTAAACCTTAATTATTTTGAGAACTTAACGCGCTGGTAAAAATTGGCTTATTATATTACGACATTATTTTCAGTATCTAAAAATATATAAGAAACCTTGTCTAGTTTAAAATAATGAAAAAAATATTTTTTGTAAATTAATGTTATAATAAATAAATAAATAAATATATATATATATTGATAATTTTTATCAATAATTTTTATTAAAAAAAAATTTTCTTTTTAATTATTATTTTTAAGTCATATATATATATATATATATAAAAATTTTGAAATGCTTTACAATCATGTATCTTTATTTGAAACAATTTACATGTAGAAATTTAAATAATATATATATATTTGCACAATATTTATTTCTAAATATATATGACTTAAAAATATATATATATATTTATAATGTGTGTATCCTTTTATACATGTTTTTCTTTTAAAACAAATACGACTTAAAAATATGATAATTAAAAGGAAAAATTATTTTAAAATAAAAAATATTGATTTGAAAAATTATCGACTGATTAAAAATAAAAATTATTTGTACAGTTTTATATAAATTAAAAATTTGTTTGCACTATCGTATAAGTTTTATAAAACATTTTCAATGTATGAGTTGTGACTCGGCGTTTGCGAGGAAGAGTTAAGCGCTTTTTGGCGTTTAAATTTTTGAAGAGTGTCATTTAGCTCTATTCTCTTGAGGTGTTCTAAAATTTTCTAGGCGCATTTTATAAATAACTTTTTAGAAAATTCTTTAAACGTCTAAAATTTTTGAGATTATTTAGTCATCGTGTTTAAGACGATATTAGGACATCGTCTATAAACAATCAGATTTTTATGTCGTTTTTGAATAAGAGATGTTCTGTTATGTCCGAAAAATTGTTAGCGGGAATTTATTTAGCGATACAAAAAAGAAAAGGTTGTAGTGAAAATTATTTAAACGAAACCGCGTTGTGCGAGTTTTGAAAGTGAGAAAAAAAATAAAACTCTTTTGTACTCAGTTGTATATTTTTTCAATTTACGTTCTTATTTATCTATCGCACGGAAAAAATTATATATAATAATCGAATATATTTAAAATAAGAGTCTCTCATGACTGCGTTAAGGAATTATTCTTAAGAACTTCAGCATGTCATTGAGATAAATATTGACAAAGTGCAATACGAAAGTACAAAGTCTGACCTCTTGTTCTCTCTCGAATTTTTTGTAAATTTTCTCCTTCATTGCGAGGGAAAAGAAGAAGAAACGAAGAGAAATCGATCGCTCCTTTTTCAAGTGTTCTATCGCCCTCATAATCGCAAAAGGGATTATGCGGAGGCATAAATTATAGAGAGAATATACATATATACGAGATCCCAAGTAAAAAAACTGACGTCATTAAACATTAAAATGGCGTCACTCAATGTCTAATGACGTTATCTTGACATCGATTAAACATCAAAATGACGTTAGCAAGCGTACGTCATTTTGACGTCTATGACGTCAGTCGGCGTCAAAATGACGTACGCTTGCTACCTGTGGATTTTATTAATCGAGATTATATATCTCACAGCGATAAATTTTTCCAACAATAATATATATATAATGAAACTCTATTAATATAAAGAGCGACTCGCTCCTTCTCAAAGTTTCGTCTTCAGCGTAAACGTGTATAAAGCTGTGCTCTTTATTAGTCGAAAAATGGAGACGATTTTGTACCGAATATCGATTTTCTATCTATTTCACACATATACACATACATATACATACATCTAATCCTTCGTTAAACTCTCGTGAATTCTGTACGCCTGAAGGATACAAATATATATATATATATATATATATATATATATATATATATATATATATATATATATATTCTATATAAGGATTTCTATACGGTCTCATATTAACCAAAGTTAATGGTACCTAAATAGTCGATCCGCAATCTACGATATATTACTAAAATATTCAACACAATTTTACGATATATAATTGTACATATATATACACGAGTATTTTCCTGAAAAAGAAAAGAAGTGAAACCGAGTAATATACCCGCAATTGTTAAACGTAAGTCAGGAGCTCTGTTATATAAGCAAGAATGAATATATATATATATATATATATACACACATACATACACACACACACACACACACACACACACACACATATATATATATATATATATATATATATACACCACCGTCGTTTATATTAATTGAATACAATAAAACTAAATTTCAAGCAAGGTTTGCATACATGTCTCATATGTGATTGATTATCATTTCGAAAATTTACGCATGCTTAATTCGATCAAATTTTTACATCTGAGGATCTCTTAAGTACTATTTATTTGATTAAAAATTAATAATAAAATTAACTTTTTCTCTCTCTAAAAAATAATATTTAGATATGTTTATCTAGAAAAATAATTCTCAATAAATAATATAATTTTTTAATTAAGTTATTCACATATATTAATTTTGTAGAAATGTGTTTTAAAAAGCAGATACTGCTTTAATTTTTAAATTTATATAAATTATTTTTATTATTTAAATTATCTATATTATCTATATTAATTAAATATACTGAAATTCGAAAAGTGAATTAATATTCCGAAAGATCCGAAATTTAAAAAATAAGAGATTTCAAACTTTTAGTTCAAGTAAAATCGAAAATTTGAATTTTCTCTCACTTATAACTTTTCAGGACATTGTCTCATTCCTTATTAAAATAATGAATATTTAAAATAATATCTCAACATGCTTTAAATTTTAAAAATTTCATTTTTTGGACATTATCCCACTTTTTTCTAAATTTAGATATACTTTTTTAAAGGATTATTCCGTATATTAACAGTAATAATATTTACGAAAAAGCATTATATTCTATATATTTTATTATCTTCCTGATCTTTTTATTATCGCTTTTATACAAGTACAAATTATTTTTCAAATATAAAAGATTAAAGAAAATTTCATACATATAGAATGTGAAAACCTAGAAAAAAAACGAGATATATTTTTTTCATCCTTCACGGTGAATAAAATATACTTTTAAAGTTCGGTCACTTATTTCTAATTTCTATATAAAATATGTCCATATATCTTTTTTTTTTTTGTATAATTTTTGATTATATACAAATACAGGAAAAATAAGAAGAAAATTGAAAAAATAAAAAAATAATTTTTGCATTATTTTGTCAAAAAGTATAATTTGGAGAAATAAATTTATATGTATATGATATAAGCAATTAATATGTTGTGTAATGATTACTTGAGAAATTTTTTTCATTTCTTTAAATTTTTCTTATTTTTTTTATAAGAAAGTTTATATATAATTATAATAAAGACAAATATATATAATAATTGTATATATTTATATTTAATTATATATGAATTTTTTCCTTAATAAATGGTAATATATTTATTATATTTTTCAGTTATGGAGCAATTTTATTTATTTGATCTCTCCATTTTTATAAATATATATTTCATTTCTTTATTCCAGACCGACTGTGACACGGTATTACACAGTGGAATGCTGCTTAGCTTTTTTACTTCACCACCAGAGTGTAGTGCAATCACTTCGCATATATAGCTTTTTAAAGTTTAAAATTTTTTTAAATTTTTAAAAAACTTTCAAACTTTACTTCATTCCTGTGTGTACATTCCTGGAAAGCATCCTATTCCGGAATGTCACTGTTTATGTCCTATAGTGTTCTCTATCTACTAAATCTTATCATCTAGTCCTGCCCGAGGATCCAATAAGACAGAGAGAGAAAGAGAAAAGAAGGGAAAGAGAGGGAAAGAGAAAGAGAGAGAGAGAACGCAGAGAGCGCATCCGTTCGTCGTCGCAAGAGGTGTCTTTTCGCACGTCAAGCTTCATTTCTCGAGTCGCAAACGAGATTCCCCTCAGACTACACCTTACCATAATTCATCTATTTCCCGTATAACCGGGCAGCGAGGACGGATGCGGCGCGCATTTTGTCCGGATCGCGATAGACAGGTAATTGAACCCGGGTTGAACCCGGAGCGTGAACTGGAAATGTGAGAGACTTCAGAGCGATAGCGGGCTCCGAGAGACGACAAACCGCGCAGAATGGCTTTTCTATGTCCCGTACGCATACGTCGTGGAAAGAAGAAAAAACGTAAGTAAATAGCATATAATATATATATAGGGAAAAAGAGAGGAGAGAGAAAAAGATCGAGGTGAACGAAGTGCATTAGTAGCGGTGGTTTGATATTCGATCGTGCACACAAGGGCCCAGTTGTCATATATAGCTCTTGCTTCCTCGATCACCTGTTGCTCGAGACCGGTTATGCAGCTTCTAGCTTAAACTCCTCCGAAGAGAAGAGATCCAAGCTGAGTTCAAGCACCGATTTTACGCACAAATTTCGATTTTTTTTTTCTAAAATGCAACATGTTGCGTAATACTTTCGCACAATTTCAAGTTAATCATTAGCATATATGTATTATTTTTAAAAATGTATTTTCCCAGACAACACAGAATATCTATTATTGCATGTTCAAAGTATATTTATATTTATATTTAGACGTTTTAAAAATGTTTATACTCATACAACATTTCAATTATATTACAGCAATATGTTATAATATTACAAGTTGTAACGTAATATTAAAGAGATATTATAAGAACATGTAACTGTAATATTTTATGAGAAAAATGTTACGGCAACATTCCAAAAAATATTATAAAAAAACAGTATTAGTAATCGTTAGTTCCTTTATTTACCGCTATACGACTCGCGATGTGCTATCTATCTCGTATTTAAGATTTGTTATGAGAATTATATAAAATTAGGAAAAAGCGATTAAAATTAAAGTAGCCGGATATCTGAGTATATTTTTGTTTACATTTTTGTTTACATATTTGCTTACATTTTTGTTTATATTTTTTTACAGGTGCAAACAGAATAAATTTACAAAGTTACAATAAATGTTTCCTTATTTTTCTTAGATGTCTGCGATATTTCTACAATCTTTTAATGTTGTATGAGATAAACATATGTATACAATACTTTATCTACTTATACTTTAAAAATACGCGTTCAATGTTCCAAGTAGGTACAATTTTAGTATATTTAGTTTAATCTTTAAAATGCACATTTTTTGATAGAAAAGTAATACTGACATCTTTAAAAATATTTTAAAGATGTCTAATATGTATATTTTCAATATTTTTTTAAAACGTTACTGTCTGGAATAGAAAAATCATTATTTTATTTTGAAATAATTTTTATCATTTTATCAGAAAGAAAATGTCTTCAAAATAATTTTTTTTGTTTTTAATTCAAAAATATATTTATATTGCAAAATATTTAAAAAGTTGTTTAGGAAAATCGTAAGATTTAAAAGAAAATGTTTTTTTTTAATTAAAAATCTTTTGTGTGCAAAATTTAGTAATTGTAATCTTTAATTAAAATATAGCTGGGGCACATAACTTTAATTTGGAGAAAGACTGTGTTGGGTCAGGAGGCGCAGGACTTGGTTTGAGTACCAGGGTATCATTGCCCCCTGGAAGGATAACTGGAAGTGCGAGTATTGAGACTCTTGTAAGGGTTGGCATTGAAAAGGAGAATGGACTGTCTCCAGATAGCAAAATGGTCATTGTACATGATTTTACTCCCTGCGTCGACGACGAACTTCAAGTCAAAAGGGGACAGGTCAGTAAGAATAATCTGCAAAATATTATTTTTTTAAATCCTCTTTTTACATTATCCTTAATTATATTACAAATCATACATTATAAGTGGTACATGTCTTTTATTTTATCGTAATTTTTATAATATACGTATATAAGAGTTATATTTATATCTAATTTTGCTTTTCTCTACTTTTATTTTTGTTATCCTTTTTTCAAAATAATCTATAAATGTATTAGTCAACAGGTAAATAAATAATAAATAATAATAATTACCAAATTACTAGTAAACAAAATGATTGAACATTCTCGATTTTAAAAACCCGCGACGTTAGATTCGTTAAAGAATTGAATAAATCTTATTCAAAAAGATTAGATATATATTTAAAGTAAAATTGAAAGGAAACGGAAATTTATTCTAATTAAGGAACATTTTGATATATCTCCCAGCTAATCATTTACTTGAGAATTAACAATCAGGAAACGATTTTCTGCCAAATATAACCAAATTCAAGGCCTACTGTGTCCTCGAGTGCGCCCCAATTGCAACCAAAAGTTGAAAACATATCCTAACATCAAAAGTTGGGTGTAACTCCAGAGCAGATCTGTCACTAACAGTACGACGACAAATTGACGCAACAAACTGAGAATAAATTTGTCAATCGCAAACTAAACAGATTTGCGCCAAATGCTCAGCAAATCGAAGAAAAATAATTAAGTAAAAAAGAAAAAAACAAAAAACATTTAATAATTCATAATTGAAAAAAAGTAAAAATAATCTAATGTATAATGTATATTTGTTAGTCAATTCATATTTTGAAAAAACGTATATATAATCTTTTTAACTACTTTTGGGACATCTGTGTATTTTTTGTTGTCAATTTAACTTTTCGTCAGATCTGCAGAATCTGCTGCGTTTCTAGCATCAATTTTTATCAACGATTTTGACAGATCTGCTTGTTACTTCATTGCCACTTTGTCAATATAATCTGCGAAATAATGTTGGGAAATATTTACTGAATTTATGCTCACAGTGTTTGCAATGACAAAATATGTTTCTCATCTGCAGCCATTTAACAAACAAAGTTGTTGCCTACATTTGCCTTCGCAGAAATGATTAGCTGGGATTTGTATTCCACAGATTAAATGTTGCTTATTTTTCGTTTTTATATTAAGATCCAATAAATTTTTGTATTTCTGTTTGAAATGTGTTGAATCATTTTATCACCAAGTAATTTCACATTTTATGTTCGGGGGAGGAATCTTACAAACAAAGCGAGTTCCAACACACATCAGAGAATGATTAACCAATCAGAGAATCCTACAATTGACTAATTATTATAATAATGTAGACTATCGGATCCTTCTCAATCTTGCATAAGCTAGTCCTCGGTGAAGGATCAGAAGATATATCGGATTTTTACCGACCAAAACCCCTTCTGGTGTTCTAATTTTAATCTGGTGCGCCTTAAGAGCACTCGGGAGCATTTTTAAGGCCGATTTTTCCAACTTCTTGATAAGTTTTTCCCGACAGGTAGCATATTTTTGTCTCTTTTCAGATAAATTTTAAAAAGAGAGACAAAGATATATATGCTACCTGTCGCGAGTATATTATATTGTTATATTATATTATATATAGGTGTCCGGTGACTCTCGTTTGACACGTTAATGGGAGATTCTTGAAGCGATTCTTGGAGACGATTTTTTCTCAGCGAAAATGATGAGAAAAGTCATCATTTTTTTAATGTTCCCAATTTTGAAAATCATCTTCGTCTCCAAATCGCTTCAGAAATCTCTCATTAACGTGTTAAACGTGAGTCATCAGACACCCTGTGTATATATATATAATAAAAAATTACTCATTGCAAACCCACGTAGAATCCTATAAAAAATTAATCATTGCAAACCCATATAGAATTCTATGAAAAATTAATCATTGCAAACCCATGTAGAATTCTATGCAAAATAAACCATTGCAAACTCATGTAGAGAATTGTATGAAAAATTATCCATTGTAAACCCATGTAGAATTTTACTACAAAAGTAATGATATCAAAAAAAAATTGCGCCAAGTGAAAGTAGAAACTTGTACCAATGGAAAATTAAAATTGCAAACATATATAGAGTCGTATAATGAACTAGTAAATTAATATAAAATTTAAAAAATAAAATTTTAGTTAAAAAAACTTGGCGCGCTGCTAAATAATATCCTAATGATATTAAAATTAATTTATTTGTTACTTTAAAACATATTGAAGTTAAAATATATTTTGTAGTTAAATTAATTTATGTAACTTTAAGGTGCATTGTAATTTTGAAACTTAGCAGCGCGCCCAGTTTTTTAACTAATTTTTTTTTATTTTATATTAATTTACTATTATATTAATTTACTAGTCCATTATACTCTATATATGTTTGCAATTTTAATTTTCCACTGGTACAAGTTTCTACTTTCACTTGGCGCAATTTTTTTTTTATATCATTACTTTTGTGGTAAGATTCTACATGGGTTTACAATGGATAATTTTTCATACAATTTTCTACATAGGTTTGCAATGGTTTATTTTGCATAAAATTCTACATGGGTTTGCAATGATTAATTTTTCATAGAATTCTATATGGGTTTGCAATGATTAATTTTTTATAGGATTCTATGTGGGTTTGCAATAAGTAATTTTTTGTTACTGACATGCCGTTAACTGGGCGCCTTTTTACCTTTTTTAAAGGTAAGTTTTTAGAGATTATATATCATTCATTTTTGTATGTTATCAAACTAATCATTATTTTAAGAATATAACTGTTAATCTTATGAAAAAATAATTTTGAGAGGATGATTGCGTAACAAGAAAATAGATATATTATATGAAAAAATATTTTCATAATATAATCACATATAAGTGCAGTATTGCATATCATATTTAGTATATCACAAACATATTCTTTCATAAATATATATTTATATGATAATATTTGCAACTTTTTGATATTTGTTACTTTTATTATGTTACGTCATCATCTTATACTATTTCTTTTATAATAATTTTCTGCAATGCTACCATCGTACTACATCTTTCATACGTATATCAATCATTATTATTAGTAAAGATTGCTTCCTTATTTTACATCTATAATTATGTACTTATAAAAAAAGAAATAGTGTAGCAAGAAAGTAGTTATTATTATAAAAGAAATAATTTAAAATGGTAACGTAACAAGAAAGTAGTTGCAAATATCAAAATATAAATATGCATTTATATACTTACTAAATACATGTGATATGCAATACCATATTATATGTAATATACTATATTTTTTTCATAATAATATTATAATCTATTTTCTTGTTACGCAATTATCCTATTATTTTTTCATAAAATATAATGTTGTTAATCTTATATGTGTATGTTAATCTTATAAAAAAATAATAGGATGATTGCGTAACAAGAAAATAGATATTTATATGAAAAAATATAGTATATTATATTATAAATAAATATCAAAAGACACGTACCTGTTATGTGTGTACACTGACCGGCAGGAATGGTGTCCGACGTCAGAAATGTACGACGGAGGGAACGAGACACTGATAGACAAGCGCGACCCGCGCATGTCCGTATAGCTGTCTCACTCGCACTCCTTCAATCATAGATATAAAAGACATAGATCGGCCCCTACCGTAGGAGACAGCGTTGAAAGACCTAAAGGACTTCTCTTTTTTCGTGTGGTGGGGACTGTGTAGGGATGGGTAAAAACGAAACGAGCATGCGCGTAGGAAAAGTAGTCAGCATGCAAATTTCCCTCATTTCGTGTACGCTGAACGTCGATATATACACACAGTAGCATTACATATTAAACAATAAAAATATACGAACATAAAAATGGTATTGTTTAATATGTAATGCTACTGTGTCTATACATCGACGTTCAGCGTACACGAAATGAGGGGAATCTGCATGCCGACTACTTCTCCTATGCGCATACTGTTCCGTTTTTACCCATCCCTACGCAGTCCCCACCACACGAAAAAAGAGAAGGACAGAGAGCCCCGGAATCATCTCTCTGTCCTTTAGATCTTTCAACGCTGCCTCCTACGGTAGGGACCAATCTATGTCTCCTATATCTAAGCCTTCAATTCATAGTAATTCGAGTAAGTGAGACAGCTATTGGACACCACTAAATGACACCACGTCTTGTATTGCTTTCTCTCTCGATCATACGATGTTTGAGAGAGATGCAATATATGAATACCCCTTACTACTTTCTCCTTCGCTCCTTGATCTCCGCCCCGCTTCAAGCGACACATACAATGTCGCGCTACGTATGTGTGCATATGATTTTCGGCTGTTATACACGTATACACACATCTGAAATCTGACGCCGGACACCATTCCTGCCGGTCCGTGTACATGTCAAGAGATATCAATGCGTGCAAATAACCCCACACGTCAACGTGTATTGGATACATAACCCCGCACGCTGTCAATATCGCAGAGCACTAATGCCATCTGTTGTGAATCGTGAGAGACGTACAACATTAATACACATGCATCTATTCTATGTGTTGTATACATGTGATATATGTGTACGCATGTATTGTATACGTGTGAATACGTGTAGTACGATCCCAGACAGAACCAAATCCAAAATCGGCGCATAAGATATCTTTAAAATATGTTTAAGATGTCTTTCGGATATCATATTATAAGATTTCTTAAAGCTGTCTTAAAGATTTCTTAATAATATCTTATGCGCTAATTTTGGGCTTGGTGCTGTCTGGGATACTACTATGTTGCGTGAACGATGATGACGTTTCTTCTTCTTCGGTTTAGAAGCCTATATAAGCCAGACTTGGCTTTTCTTGCCAGCCATAAGTTCTAATAAGGTCCACAATGGACCAGAAAGGAAAAAATTCTTTCGGACGAAACACGTCTGAACATGTCGACGGACGCCAACAAACTTATGTTGACGTTTCTTACAAAAAATTTTTCATAATTAGACTTTGCATTATGATATTTCCGCTTACAAAATACGTAGAGTAGAAATAAAGACACTTTCATTATATAATTTGAACTCAATCTATCGATTAAGTCTAATATAAACTCGATTGTTTCAGCCGTTATTGAGCATTCGAAATTTATAATAGACGCAATCGTCCGATTAGCGTTAAGATACACGGTGTGCCTCGTTCGGCGATGCCAGTAATTGGGCGCGAGACACTACCGTGTCTCTTGAAAGATACACGGTGTGCCTCATTTGGCGATGCCGGTAATTAGGCGCGAGACACTACCGTGTCTCTTAATATATATATATATATATATATATATACATATATGTATATGTATATGTATATGTATAAAACTTACAAAGAAGTTGGAACAAGCGGCCCTTAGTATGCTTCCGAGTGTCACGTACCTGACGCTATAAGACTTCAACAATAAACAGAGACCCAAATAACATCAAATAAGTCACCAAGTCATCAAAGTAGAAATCTAAAAGATATCTCTTTAAAGAAATCTTTAAGATATACTTTTTAAAGATATTTAAAGTCAACTAAAAGATGTCTAAAAACATTCAATTGAAGATAGCTTTGTAGAATTTCTAAATAATCATCTGAAAAGCTATTTTAAAAGATATCAGTCTAGACTATATACTGTACTAACATATCTTTTGCGTTTTAGGTAGTGAATGTCCTTTACAGGGAAAACGATTGGGTATACGTAATAGCGGCTGATACTCGTATGGAAGGCTTCGTGCCGCACTCGTATTGTGCACCGTATACATCGCCACTCGCGGAATTGGCACTGGCTAATAATGTAAAGAAGAAGCTGCCACGATCCAGCGAAAACGATTGCGATCTTCTTAACACAGGCCGTTTGCAGGAGACGCAACAGACCGATACCGGCTCGGCATCAGATTGCGAAAGTCACACGCGAAATAATATTACCACCGCGGACCTCAACGTCAATTGCTCCAATATCACGCAATCTCAGAATTCCATACAGACTATATCGTCTCAGCCAGATGTGCATCCTTTCTTCAAGGTAACACAGAGTGTTACACAGCGTTGATTTGTAGTTGGAACACTGCTTAGCTTTTTCATTTTATCTTCAGAGTGTAGGACAATTACTTTACATAGCTTTTCAAGTTTTTAAGTTTTTTAAAAGTTTACCATCTACAGAAGGTAGAGAGCCTGATAGGAAAAAAGAGTGGCAAACTCTTGTATATTGTGTTGATATTGATGTATACAGAAATAGGTTATTTAGAGGTTTAATTCGTGATGTTATTGGGTCTCTAATCATTGTTTTATAAAAATTGTAATAATTGTTAAAAAAAAAAACAATTATTAAGACCCAATAATATTAACCTCCAAATAACCTATTTAATTCTGTATACATCAATATCAACACAGTAGCTCTGACGCCTCAAACCAATCAGAAAAAGGAGGGTCACGTGATAAAGTTTGCCACTCTCTTACTACCTCTCTAACAGAAGGTATCCTGGCTCTCTAACAGAAAGTATCCTGCGTTACTAGAAAGTATATACTTTAGATATTAATCTTATTTAATGAAATGTATGGGTAAGAAACAATTGTAATCTCGTATATTCAACAGGATCCATCAGCTGGAAGATATATTGTCCTTTACACATTCGTGGCGCGGGATGAGAATGACGTCAGTGTTGAAAGGGGTGAATTCGTGACAGTACTGAATCGCGACGATCCAGATTGGTTTTGGGTGCTTCGACATTGCGACGGTAATGAGGGTTTTGTGCCGTCCGGTTTTGTCTATCCGGGTCACGTTCTTCATTCTTACACGACTGCCACTACAACTGCCACTACTGTCACTACGAATACACCATCCACGGAAACTCATAGCCCAGGTTGGCTCTTTAATCGTTAAATTGTCTATTTTTGGCAAAATTGTACATCGTAGGAAATATGTACATATTGAATGAAGTATGACAGAGCAAAATTTTAATAAAGTGTTTTCATTGATTTTTGGATTAACATCACTTATATTTTACAGGCAAAAGTATGGGAAGTAATATAACGGGAGGTGGGGAATCATTACAACAGAAAGGAATGCGAGATTTTCGGGACGAGGCAACTGGCACAGAATTAGTGGTGCTTTACGATTATAAGGCGCAGGCGCCGGATGATTTATCGGTAAAACGGGCCGATTGGATATACGCGGATTTGGGAAATCAAACGGTAGAAGGCTGGCTTTGGGCCTACGCGCCCAAGACTCGCAAATACGGTTTTATTCCTAAGGCATATGCACGACCACCTGCCATGACTAGCTTATGATTGGATTTGATTATGAAATATGAGAGAAGCCTGCTTTTAGTTTTTTAAGTTGGCAATAACATTATTGTTTTTATATTCTCATTTCTGTATTATATATCGTCAAGAGTATAAAGATTGAGTAATAACTATATATAATTTATATTTTATTTAAATATTCATTCTATTTTATTTAAAGAAAACAGCATACATACATTATCGTACCAGTTCATCATTCATTTCTAAAAAATACAGAGCTAGAAGATGTATGTTCCTAAATCTCCCAGGACCTAGAAAAAGCAAAAGTGTTGGATCTAACGATCTAACTAAACCGATACTAGATTCCAGACACTTGGCTAACTACAAGAGTGAGGAGATACAACATCCCCATGATTTAAGTGTCGTCAGACTATACCTTAAACTGTGCTACTATTAAATATCTACTTTTCAGAAGTTCCAAGAAATGTAAAAAGAAGAGTAAATGTAATATTAATTGGTCTAAAAATTAAAGGACATTTTTAAAAGCTAAGCAAGAAAAATTGTTCGAACATAATCTGTTCAATTTTCTCATTTCTTTGTTTATTTTTTTTATATTTTTCTTTTAATGAAATTAGAATGGGTATACACATTCTTGAAACAACAATACTTACAAATTAAAGGACAAATGTATACTTTGCGCACTAATACAATGTAACAAATGGATTCAGTGTACAATAACATTTACATTAAGACTAGTACAGCCATAAGTGATATGGCTGATCAATCCCTCATGGAGAACTATACAATCACCAGCCAAAAAGACGTCGCGTGGACGTTGGGCAGCTCTTAGGGATGTTACGGGACCTGTGTAGGTAAGCGATCGGAATCCACGGTTGTCAATGCTGTCCACAGCCTATCAAAAAAGCCGATCAAATATCATCATCCATCTTTTAAAACGTTATTTCCATATCCCGTCTCTTATACATATCATTGTCTTCATAAGTGATTTGATCTATCTGATGTATATAATATACCTGGATGCTACATTGAAGTCTGTCAACCGTATCGCCGACATCCAATCCTGCAACCCAGGCAATAATCACATCTTTTTCGCACTGGCCCTCTCCGCCGGCGTGTACTTCCTCGCAACACGCATAATTATTGCCGTGCAAACGCGCAGCCAACACCGGTAAAGGTAACCGATTTCGATACTTGGGGTTTATTTGACTGCCACCAAACAGTTTCGCTGTAGAATCTCTTATTATTACAGAAATTTCGATTAGTTGCCAGTTGAGAATATACAGGTACGTTATACAAACATATAAAAAAAATCACCCAGACAGACATGCAGGTATGCTTTGAACATATAGTATGCAAACATTTTATGTATACTTTGTAATGCAATTAGAACAGCATAAAATTACGAATCATTTTAATAAATTTTAATTATGCATTATGATGTCATATTGTTAACATATATTTTGTATATTTTATAAAATAGCAATATATTTCATTGTACTATAAACGCACAACTGCAATTATTATATTTCTGACAAAACAAGCAGCATATTTTCGCAATTTTCACAGCATTAGAAGATCATTTCACTTGCTGATAATACTCATGTCATGTGAGGACGCATCTTTCAATGTTTATGCAAGCATTTTCAAATTTAAAATTTTGTCATTATGCAGGCAATCTGCTGATATATGTCTATCTGGGCAATTGATTTATTGGGATCCTATTTCATATAGAATTAGTGAATTTTGTATTCATTACCCAGCAAACACCGATATATAATTGTTACATTGCTATAATAAAACGGAATATAACAGGTAATATAACGTGTACGTTACATGTAACATTGTAATTATATACCAAATAGCACATTGATGTATTGATAAGTCAGTGCTATCTTGGGATATAATGACAATATAACTACAATGTAATATATGTAATATTAAAAATGTTACATCTATGTATGAGTGGGAAATTACAACTAACATATACATTACATGTAACGTGCTTAAGTACGAGGGCAGTCCGATAAGTACTTAGCCTCATCGCCCGATGGTGCCAGTATCGCAAGAGAGTTTTACTATCGTGTAGTACATTCTCGTAGATGGCTACTGTCAAAATTTCAGCCGAATCGGACTCGTAGTTTTGTTTTGACCGCGTGTGGAAGCGGGCGTATCCGCGGATTTTAGAAAAATGGAAAAAGAGCAATATCGGTCGGTGATTCGATTCTTGTTTTTGGAAGGGAAATTGCGCAGCGAAATCAAAGATTCTTCATTTCGACATCTTTGATTTCGCTGCGCGATTTCTCTTCCAAAAACAAGAATCGAATCACCGACCGATATTGCTCTTTTTCCATTTTTCTAAAATCCGCGGATACGCCCACTTCCACACACGGTCAAAACAAAACTACGAGTCCGATTCGGCTGAAATTTTGACAGTAGCCGTCTACGAGAATGTACTACACGATAGTAAAACTCTCTTGCGACACTGGCACCATCGGGCGATGAGGCTAAGTACTTATCGAACTGCCCTCGTATATAACATTTATATACTATAGGTAGTTTGTTAGGTATCTATCTCGATATTTTAAGATTTCTTATAAGAAAACTTTTTACAAGAAATACTGCTACACATATATCGAATTTATCATATTTTTTATGTGCAATAATATAAATGTGGATATGATAAAATAGTTTGTTTTCTATTGCTGCAAACTAATGGTTAACTAATACACACTGATGTAATAAGTTAAAGTGGGACAGATATATATCTCACTCTAACTTAGGTTTTGTTCTTTATTGCTACACTGGTGAACTAATGTATACTGGTGCAGTAAGTTAGAGTGAAATAAATATACTTGTCTCACTTTGATGTATTGCACCAGTTCACTATAGTGCAGCAATGAAGAACAAACTTCTTCCCAGACAACACCCCAGCAAACACCGATATATAATTGTTACATTGCTATAATAAAACGGAATATAACAGGTAATATAACGTGTACGTTACATGTAACATCTATGTTAGTTGTAATTTCCCACTCATAGATGTAACATTTTAATATAACATATATTACATTGTAGTTATATTGTAATTATATACCAAATAGCACATTAATGTATTGATAAGTCAGTGCTATCTTGGGATATAATGACAATATAACTACAATGTAATATATGTAATATTAAAAATGTTACATCTATGAGTGGGAAATTACAACTAACATATACGTTACATGTAACATGCTTAAGTATATAACATTTATATATTGTGTTTGCTGGGACCATGTCTCAAATTGGTGCATAAGACATCTTTAAGATGTCTTTAAGGCGTCTTTTGGATATCATATCATAAGATTTCTTAAAGTCTGTTTAAAGCTGTTTTATGCGCCACTTTTAGACATCGTGTTGTCTGGGTTATTACACCAGTGCGCACTAGTGAATGAATGCAGCAATAAAAAATCAATCCAAAGTATAACTAACGAGAGTTTGCCGGACACCAACAGGAGAGCCAGACACCGACTTGAATTGCAGGAGAGAGCTCCATAACTAATGATGAGCGTACTCTCCGCGCCAGGCTCGACATTGAGGACAGGCACCTCAGGATGATCGAAGAGGAAGTGATGGGTGAGCGATGAGAAGGCGACATTGATTGAGCAATCAAGACGGGGACAGCGTATGGGTCTGCGAGAACATTCGATGGAGGAAGACGCCGGAATGAAACTTCTCATCTTCGTCTCAGAGGCATATCGTTCTGTTATTGTTGCATCGGGTCTCTTAGTTGTTGCCAGGTAGCCATGCTGATATTGGCTCTGCCTTTCATAACTCCTCGTTTGCTGTGGATTTTCCCGATCAACCATCGCGTACGAAATCGTATCTGATTCTTCGTCATCGTCTATCGCCTCGTGCATTGTTTTGTTCAAGTTATAGGCCCACCGATTGCGACGCAATTTCAATGCGGGATGAGATGACGGTGATTGTAAATACATCACGATCGGTCTGTCGTGTGTTTTTCTCGAGAGATCACTGTGATCTCTGTTCTGTGAGAAACTTGTATGCAATCTTCGAGACTGAAAATGCTCTATACAAATACGAAAATTGAGATTCTTTTTTTAGTATATAATTCTATTTAAAAAATGCATTGAGCTTGAGATTATAAAGGCTCCTGCGGATCCTCACCACGGCCATGTTAGATTGTGACGTCAGACACGAGAAAACACGCTAAAAATTCTTATTAGATGTCATTTTGAAACGAAAAAATATTTCAATGAAACAGCACTACTTCATATATATAGTTTTAGCACATTCTGAAAATATCTCTTTTCCTTTATAATCAATCAATAGCTGTAAAATGATTGTAATATATGAGGCTAAGTCCACAATTCCAATATGATTGGTCAGAACCAGATAGCAAACTGACTAAACATCAAAATAATATTATTTTAACATTGAATGACGTCAGTTTGCTACTTGAGGGAGCCAGGAGCCTTAAGAAATAATATTGGATCGTAAGAGTATCAACTTCGTGATCACATTTGCGTCTAAAAATTTTAAAAAGTTTAAAAGTTTAAAAGAGAAGACACAAAAAAATTTTCTGAAAAATTATTTTAGCTCATATGTATATAATGATACTGAGTTTTTTATTAACCTAATACCTTGGACTGAAAATTTTCGTACGCAACGTTGACACAATAAATAGTTTTCGCACGATTTTGCTTGGAATCGGCAATACTTTCGCTGAAATTTATGTTGTCGATGATAATGTGACAAATTGCACATTCTCCAATCGGTGCATCATTCTGATCGTTTTTTCCTTCTTCCTTTTCGTTATTTGTATTTATTTTCTGTGCATCTGCGCCATCCTCCTCGTCTTCATCAATTTCCTGTTCTACATCTTCTGTCTCATCTGTAATTTCACTAGGGAGTTCTTTTCTTTTCTGCATTATGTTATTATTATCTGAATATTTCCATTCAAGATGAGAATAATTCAATTCCTGCAACACCATAGTTTCTTTTATATATTATTTTTCACTTAATAAAATATAATTAAATTTGATATATTAATTTGTAGCTGTTAATTGTAAATTGCATGCTTTTAATTAAAAATAGCTATATACAGGTATGTTTATTCTTTACATCAATTGTTTCCTCTCATTATTCTTGTAGAAAATTATTGAGATCATGACAGAAAATTATTACAGTCAAAAAACGAACATTTTGTCTAATATCACGATATCATCCCAGCAAACACAGTATATAAATGTTATATACTTAAGCATGCTACATCCCAGCAAACACCGATATATAATTGTTACATTGCTATAATAAAACGGAATATAACAGGTAACATAACGTATACGTTACATGTAACATCCATGTTAGTTGTAATTTCCCACTCATGGATGTAACATTTTAATATAACATATATTACATTGTAGTTGTATTGTAATTATATACCAAATAACATTGATGTATTGATAAGTCAGTGCTATCTTGGGATATATGTTAATTACAATATAACTACAATGTAATATATGTTATATTAAAATGTTACATCTATGAGTGGGAAATTACAACTAACATAGATGTTACATGTAACGTACACGTTATATTACCTGTTATATTCCGTTTTATTATAGCAATGTAACAATTATATATCGGTATTTGCTGGTATTTTACGGTTGTTAATTGACTGTCAAAGGAAAAGAATAGTTTTTAAAAGAGGTATTTTAAAAGTGTGCTAAGTATAGCTATCTGAAGTAGTGTTTCATTGAAATATCTTTTCATTTAAAAATGGCTTCTGAGAGATGTGCTTCCTCGCTTCGACGTCATAACTATCCAACAAGGCCGCGGCGAGGATCTTAAAATTATACACATTAACTTTTTCCCTTTCGAAACCTTCCAATTTTTATATGAAATATTTTTCAGAGATGGATTCGATTATATTAATTATTAATTAAAATGAAACATTTATATATATATATATATATATATATATATATTATATATATATATATGTGTGTGTGTGTGTGTGTGTGTGTGTGTGTGTGTGTTTTGTTGTTCGCGATCTCGTGCGTACAGATATCACATGCCTTGCGATGATTATTTATCGCGTGACCGTCGGCTTTGTTTTTGTAATCAACCCTCTCGTTATCCGTCTGTTCGCGAAACATCATCGTTTGTTGGTGTGTACAGTATATTTTATTGCTCTACTGATAACCTCCCGATGATGTGCTCGTTTCTCTTGCCGAAGATCGACCGATCTATCAAGTTACAATGAGTGTCTATTTTTGTAATATGTAAATTTATAGATTTTTCAATTATAAGAAAACAGTTCCAAATTATATAACCAATCACGATTTGTCATTGAATATGCTGAACACCGTATATATATAAATATAAGCATAATAATTCACTGAACTTACCTAAGGAAAACTATTTTTTTTTAATTATTCTCTAAATAGAATTAAAAGAAGAAATATAGCGATGAGATAAATTTTTCGATTTCCAAAATGATTCTGTGACGTGAAATATTTTACAATTGATTGAAGTCCAACTGACGAATGTTTCCCCAAAGTTTGCCGTAATTTACTTTCCAAGAGAATTTATATATTCGTCAGAGCCGGAAAATGCTCGATGTACGCACGGTATTTAGATCAAAAGTATGTATGAAGCCATTTTGACTCAAGTCTCAAGTCTCAACGAACAAAGAAGAAACAAGTACAATAATCGAAGTGAACATCGCTGTAAGAAAATTCCGAGATATCCAATTCATTATACTATATATACCTAACATTCGTAAATATTATTATTAAATTAATTAAGTTCTTCTAATTTTTTAATTTTAATGTTTTACATTTTACATTCACTAGCTATTTAATTAACTTTATTTATTTTATTTTAATAATAGCGATAAGAGTCAGGGTTGATTATAAATATAACTATAGTTAATTAATCAAAAAGTTAAAAAAAGTTAAAATATAAACTATTAATAACTTTTAACTTAATTTAGTTAATTTAAAATGTATTAATTTTTAACTTCTACTGCTAGTTATTTTTGACCTTAAATTAATAACTTTTTTTCTAATTTAATTAGTTAAATTTTTTTGAGTGAATACGATTATTGTTTTTTTATAAATTATAAACGTATTATTTTTAAATTAAAATATTATTTATTTTTATGTTCATTTGTCATCAATTGTATATAATTACCAAAAAATATATTTTTATATAAAAATCAAAATTTCTTTGTTATTTGTTGTTATAAATTTTAAAAAAATTAACAAACAAAACTCTAATTTTATATAAATAACCCAGCAAACACCAAGTAACTATTATATAACTGTTAGTTATAATTTCTCACTCAACAATGTAAATGCAATATAACACACGTATTATATTGCATAATTATAACTAACAGGTATATAATTGTTACTTGGTGTTTGCTGAGAATAGTTTTTAAAAACGAACTTTTGATTTAACTTCAGTTAATGTAATCTTAACTTTAACTTAGTTAATTTTTGTTTATGCAACTTTTAACTTAACTAAATTAATTTTATAAGCAACTATAACTTCACTTCAACTTAACTTAGTTTTAAAAAATTATTAACTTACCCTGGCAAAAGTATACCTTAATTCTAATTTTTTAAATTTAATTAAATTTAAGAGTTTTAACAAGGCTCTGTAATATAAATATAAATTTAACGTATAAGACGGGCAACAAGAGCCAAATCGCGGATGACAATGCGTTGTCCTAACGAAACTAAATAAATTTTTTCGTTAGAATTAAATACCGGTGCACAAGGCACCAAATTTTAACTTGGACACGGCCAAGATTTTAAATATGAAATAATCTCATATTTTGAGATTAATTTCAATACCCCTTTAACGGGGTATTGAAATTAAATCTCAAATATGAGATTATTTCATATTTAAAATCTTGGCCGTGTCCAAGTTAAAATTTGGTGCCTTGTGCACCGGTATTTAATTCTAACGAAAAAATTTATTTAGTTTCGTTAGGACAACGCATTGTCATCCGCGATTTGGCTCTTGTTGCCCGTCTTATACGTTAAATTTATATTTAATTAAATTTATTAATAAGGAAATTAATGATTAGTTCGACCATACTGGCTCTTATAATATTATTCGCCTTTATTAGATATGAAGTACAGATTTGTGTACTTCATATCTAATAAAGACGAATAATATTAATAAGAGCCAGTATGGTCGAACTAATCATTAATTTCCTTATTATTTTTAAATTCTCTCTGGCAAAGAATACAAATCTATTATTTAAATTTATTAATATTTGAAATTAATTTATTAAAATATTATGTTTCATATTCAATTATTTTATATTTAATAAAAAGTTTTAATATTTTTGTAATATATTATACACTTAAATTATATCTGAATAATTAATAAAATAATAATAATATAATAAAATAAATAATAAATATAATAATAAATATAATAACAAAATAAAATTAATCTCATATTTTTTAAAATAATTAAATTTATTTTTATTGAGTTTAGCCGCAATTGCTGACTTCATTAGCCTATTTTTAGCATGTCTTGTATAAGTCATTCTTAATCTTAACTATATTTCTTTACATTAAAACGAGACGATACGCAATAAAAAGTCATCAACCTTACATGCGTTTGTATAATCAATATGTATTCCGCTGCAATGTCTATATCTGTTTAGGTGAAATATATCCGTGATAGAGAGAGAGGGGGGCATATCTATTTATTTATGATATCCAATCTTTATATATAGATTAGAAGTAATTATAGCAAATTAAGCTAATAATTACTGTTAAGAAAGTTTTTTATGCCACGTTTGTAAAGAAAACAGCATCTACTTTATAAATATATTTAATATAAAATCATCGCTAATTTAATAATAAATATATTAAATGAATAATTTTTTTATATTAATAAATATATTGTGATATAGTAATTGCAAGTCATGTAATAATACAAAATAAATTGCACAACTCAACTTGTTAAGTGTTTTTATTAAAAAAAGCACATGTTAAAAAATTAAAAAATGATAAATGATATGATACATCGATTTTTAACAACATTGCCTAATTGCAAATGATCGCGTAGATTTATATTTTTAATTAATTTGTATTGTCTCTGATTTCTTCAATAATAACTTTCGAACATCTTTAATCGCGATTAAATTTTTTATATTAAGTAAATATTAATATATATATATGTTAATCCATAAGATTTATATATAATACAATATATTTATCATAAATTAATAACAGCACACTTAAAACTATTGTACAATAATAGAGTAAAGCTCGAAAATGATTTTTATAACTCAGAAACGCGAGAATGCGTCATTTAAATTACGGCACTTCCGCTTGCAATGTTATATTGCATATGAGACGTATGAATTCTTTTAATGAATAATTAACAATTCCTTACTTACATGTTAAATACAGAAATTGCTTATCACAAGTAATCTATATCTTATCTAGGGATGGGATTAAGTTTAATATGTAAAATAAAATCTTAAAAATGCGAATCAAATTCAATAATCAATTTTATTTTTCTAGAAAAAAAATCAAATAATATTCATAAAAATCAAATATTTTATATGTATTGTATTATTTCATATACTTGCGAAGTAATCAAATCTAGAGGAGTATATTCGAATTTTAGATCGAGATTACACCTGCAGGTCTGAAATAGTACTTTCTATCGTAAAGGATCGTTTCTTTCAGAAATAATACTCGAATTTTAAAATTAAAATCTATTTATACATACTTTATTACATATAATATATGTATAGATACTATACTAATATATAATATATATATACTATACATGCCTATATATTGCTATATATATTAATATATATATATATATATATATATATATATATACTATCATATATATTAAATATTTTGCATTATACTTCTTGTTTGTAAAAGTTTTTAATTATAATAAAAACAATATATAAAAATTAATTTTTGCTTTATACAAAAATTTTGATGCAACGTAAAATTAAAAAAAAAAATATAAAATTGAAATACATTTGATCCAGATTCGAGTGTACTTGAAGCTCCTGGCTCCGATCATATTGGAATTGTGACGTCAGAGCCAAAGAAAACACAATAGTATATTGTGGGTGCGTTCCGTTATGCATGCAAGTACTGGCACTATGAACGTCATGCAAGTTAATGTGACAGCGTTCCTTTTTATTTTGTGCACGTTGAAGCTACTGCAAAATAGTAAAACGGAACGCACTACAGTACGCTTTCAGCAGTTTAACTAACCTTTTTCGCTAATATCATCGAGTGAAAAATTGGTGAAATGGATAATACCATTATTGCATTAATTACATATAATTTAATCGAGAATATATATGATTCGAGTGAGTCATCAAGTGAAAGCGATTTGGAAATGGAATTAATAAATGAAATGAGACGACAAATTAAAATACCTAGAATAAAATGTAAAAATTACGTTAAATAATATTGTATCATTATATTCAGATATGAATTTAAAAGTTAGTTCCATCGTACACATGGAGGTAGCCATCTTGATTTACTGCGAGTGCTTTGGGTGCGTTCCGTTATGACACTGCAAGTACTGACAGTACTACCAATAGCGTTCCGATTAGATAGCAGCACTGCGAAAGTACTATCATGAGTATATGACGTCATTAATTTTGACGTTATTCCTGTTGCGATTACTGCAACCGGCGAGGTAAAGCACTCGCAGTAATCAAGATGGCTACCTCCATGTGTACGATGGAACTAACTTTTAAATTCCATATCTGAATATAATGATACAATATTTTTAACGTAATTTTACATTTTATTCTAGGTATTTTAATTTGTCGTCTCATTTCATTTATTAATTCCATTTCAAATCGCTTTCACTTGATGACTCACTCGAATCATATATATTCTCGATTAAATTATATGTAATTAATGCAATAATGGTATTATCCATTTCACCAATTTTCACTCGATGATTATTAGCGAAAAAGGTTAGTTAAAAGTCTGCTGAAAGCGTACTGTAGTGCGTTCCGTTTTACTATTTTGCAGTAGCTTCAAAGTGCACAAAATTAAAAAGGAACGCTGTCAACAGTACACTTGCATGACGTCATAGTCCAGTATTGCAGTGCATAACGGAACGCACCTTTAACTCGCGGTGCAGTAATCGCAACAGGAACATAAAACGTCAAATTAATGACGTCATATACTCATGATAGTACTTTCGCAGTGCACTGCTATCTATAT